TATCTATATCTATATCTAGATCTATATCTATATATATATGTTATAATATATTATATATATATATATATGTTAATATATATATATATATTCTATCGTATCTATCTAATCGAGCTAGTCTATCTATTCTATTCTATATATTATATATATATATATATATATATATATATATATATATATATATATATTTTCTCCCGACCACCGCCTGCTCTTTCGAGCTATGTCCAGCTCATAACAATTTCCCACCTGCATGTCCACTAACCTGCATGTCTCACCTGCATGTCCACTATATTATATATATATATATATATATATATATATATATATATATATATATATATATAGTTTCCTCGGAAGAACAGTGAGACGAGTGTAAATTATGAGATTGACGGTACGAGAAATAGCGGTCCAGTAAAGCTCGAGAAAAGTAAACCAGGCCAGGAAAACGCACAAACCAGGATAACGAATCGAATGACGCCCGCTTACCCTTACGAAAGATTACAGTCAACCCAAACGTTGGTGTTTCAAGCCACTGTCATGCTTTGGTTGAGAGATAAATAGGTGTCACATTTCACTGTGATGCAAATAGATAGGGCAATCTGGCGAGAGGCCATAGCCTGCGATGGAACACTGTCTGATGAGCAGACTCCATTTATTTCAAGAAAAGAAGTGCCTTTTCTGAACCGCTTTTAACGAAAGCATGTTACGTAAAACATACTACGTCCCGGGAAATATCCCGGGTGCTATTGTCGGTATAATTAATAACAACTGCGTCCGCTGTTCATATTACTTTTATTAATGATAGGCCTTATAATAACAGTTATACACTATGACCATACCTTCTGCCCTTATTTGCCCTAGCTCAAACATTGAAAACGCCGTTTTGGGAGCCCCTATAGCTGGGCAGTTATGTCGTACGTGTTAAGTGACTAGTGTTGTGAGGCTACTCCGCTCCCCTCCACCGCTAATTATTTTCACAGCCATGGCCATGCAAGCAGAATTGACTTAAAAGGCGACTATAGCGTAAACGTGCACTCAATTGCACTCAATCACCCACATTGCACTCAAAAGTGTGCGGTTGTGACCAGCACTTGTCCGAACGCTACAACTTCCCTCAGTGAGAAGACCGGCGAAATTAAAATGAGGCCATCTACGTCATCATCCGCTCCAAGAATCATTCAAGATGTGTGAATATTCAGGTCACATAATCTCACGATTTTCTCCCGACCACCGCCTGCTCTTTCGAGCTATGTCCAGCTCATAACAATTTCCCACCTGCATGTCCACTAAGACGCAGAAGTGTCCCGGCTAAAGGAGAAATGCATCGTTCGTCATAGGGGGGCGATAACTTTCAGTATATTAACTATGCAGGTGCAGACCGCTGAGAATGCGATGATAACTTATCCTGATATCGCTCCGCTGGGGACGGCGTGAAACGTCCTGGACTCGCGGTCCGGCGGTACTGCGTACGAGTCCAAAGTCGCTAGAGTCTGTTGTTAGTATTGTTTGGTCCACCCGGTATGAAGCTATGCCGTCGTCTGGCCGATGGGAGCGGCCCAGGCGTAGCACATCAGTCGCATGGGATTTGCGGCACGAAACTGTCCCTGCATTTTTGCCTGGCTGGGAAGGTCTGAAGGAAAATGATGGGTCGGACTCAAGATGCAAATCCGCTCACATACTGTGAAATGCCATCAAGTGGATGGCCATGCCCGTAACAGAGCCGGCAGCCGCTGCACAACATGCATGGGTCTGAGTCCAAAAGCGAGAGCCCGAGTTCCGTTGTCGTGAGTGGCCCGAGTTTCGAGTGCACCCCTGTCAGATGACGTGGCTCCACCCGAGTTCCGTCGTCGTGAGCGGCCCGAGTTTCGCGTGCACCCCTGTCAGATGACACGGCTCCGAGCCCGGTCAGTTTCACGGTTCATGAGTCCGAGTTTGATTCCTAAAGGCTTTGACTCTGGACCTGACAGTTCCCTACAGGATTGAAAAACATAATTATGCAAAATTTATTATGAACAACTGTACCTCGTCACAAAAAAGCGCCAAGACCAAGTTTCGTACAAAATTATCAGGGGGTTAAGGTGTGAAGGGTACAGCTTACATCAGGGCTCATTATGACGCAGCTCGAAATTAGTTTATCCAAACAATAGCCTCCCAATGTCTGGTCAAGTCAGGCTGGAATCGTGTTGTTATTTACGCATGGACTGATAGCTTTGCTGACTATCTAGTGGCCGATGTTAAATCTTATCCAACTTAACGCACACCTATCCTACCAGCCACAACTAAACAAAACTCAACCAACCAGTCTCGTTCATGCAACCCAATACGAACCAATAGATACAGGCATATTTAGCAATACGCCCTGCACCAATCCCAATTCATTTGCAACATGATTTGATTCGTTTGAATCGAATCCATAAAAGTTCGTCTGTCCGGACTACGAGCGTGTGCGATTCCGAGCGATCGTAGAGCGTGTCCGAATCCGGCCGATCGCGGAGCGTGTCCGAATCTGGCCGATCGCAGAGCGTGTCCGAATTCGGCCGATCACAGAGCATGACTGAGTCCGGCCGACCGCAGAGCATGACTGAGTCCGGCCGACCGCAGAGCGTGTGTGATTCCGGATGATCTCTGAGCGTGCCTGAGTCCGGCCGATCGCAGAACGTGTCTGAGTCCGGCCGATCGCAGAGCGTGTCTGATTCCGGCTGATCTCTGAGCGTGTCTGAGTCCGGCCGATCGCAGAGCGTGCATGAGTCCGGCCGATCTCAGAGCCATCCACGCCTGCCGCCCGGTGTGGTCGAAACCCGCCGTGCCGATCTCTTCTACCCTCACCTGGTTCCGGTGTAGCCACTCTACCGAGCTGGGTGGCTCGGGGCTGTAGCTGACCGTGCAGGTCAGGTTGAGGTCACTACCACGCTGGATATAGACGCTGCTGCCACCCAGGATGCGGGCCACGGGCACTGCGGCACAGACACGGAGAGCGTGAGGAAGGGGGCGGCTCCTGACCATCCAGCCCCTCGTCACAACAGGAGCAGGACGTCACGACAGGGTCACGGCGTCACATCGTCCCCGCATGAGAGCACCACCACCGCACCAACAACAAATGAACCGTGTTGGCACCAGCGCATGGACGACATCAGCACCAGCACCTGCACATCAGCACCTGCACATCAGCACCATCATATGGACGGCGTCGGCACCAGCACATAGACGACATCCGCACCAGAACATGGACGGCATTAGCTGTCCTGTGACGGGGATTTCGCAATCGAGAGCAAACGGAGATCGACGGAGCGACAATAAATTAAACGAACTGCACTTTGACTCTCCAGACGGCATTACTGGCATCGTCAATTTGAGTGTTTTGGAAATGAAGGCCGTATATTTTTGCAACCGATATGTATGGATTTGGTAAGACACATCTATAGAATTACCATCATGTCATTTTATTAGAAATGTAAGCACCACTGTGGTCTGCAAGCTGCCTCGAAGAAAAAAATCCCATCCCAAGAAACCTGGTGGATTTGGCACGTTTTTGGTGCCGCAGATGGACATCTACCGAAACTGGAAATCCCTCATACGGCGCAATGGCGCTGTTAAGTTAATCTAAAGGATCCTCAAGATTTGGCGCCTAGATTTCTCGCTGTATGTGGTAACGTGGTTCAACGTGTTCTGACAAAGGGCAATCATTCTTCTTGTAATGGGATTTGTTCCAATACAATCATTTTCAGATGTTATAACGACCCTCCAGTATCGTTTCTCAGATGTTCGCCAGATAGGCAAACCAACAAAGAGAAAACATCGAGTTTTCAATGATCGGAGCAGACGCACAGCCTGAAAGTCTTCCAGGGAGGGCCCGATGCCTTGAACGATCCCTTCTCATGGGGCTGAGTTCCCTGGGACCACCCTTATTTTACCATCTCTGTTTCTGAATCGTTCCTGCAACCACCCCTATTCCACTGCTACTCATGCTCGTGTTGATTCCGGAGGAGTCCTCAAGAGATTTTTGTGCTCTTTAAGAGGCACAATACAACTTCAAGAGGCACAATAGCGTAGTCAATGAGGGGTGGGGGTGGGGGTAGGGTTGAATCTATACCTCCCCTCTTCCCCCTCCTGGATGTCGCGGGGTTCCTCCGCTAAATTTCGGCCATGTCAGACACCCACAGGGTTTCTAACATATAAAAACGGTTGCGAGCCATCACAATAGGATGCTGAGGCAAAACAGCTCTTTTGGATCGACAAATCATGCCCAAACTTTATCAGATATTTCTTCCACTCGAGGTCGTCTTAGAAGTTCTGAACGTTACGAGAGAGATGTATGGATGTCAAGGCTCTCGGAGAAAGACGCTTGCCAAAAAAAAAAAAACACACAAAACAGAGCGATGAAGCGATAAGAAGTTCTCTGACTGAAGAACCCTCGTGACACGAATTTGGCTCCCTCCTGGGCCAAACCCTGGCGGCGCCACTGAAGAGGCGTGAATAGCCTCTGGACGGACACGAGAGGGATCTTATTCGAGGTCAAGACACGGCGAGGATCCCTGTTTTTAAGGTCCAAAATTTCGCGAACTGGGCTCTTTTGTCCGTGAGAGAGGGTCCTTTTGGAGATAAGAATTTCAGGATAACCCCGGATTCGCCGTTAATTGAGACTACACCCCTGCTCTTAAGCTACAATCATAGAAGCAAATGTGATACATGGGCGGTTGAAACGGTGATACACCCATACTTTATGGATAGACAGCTCTGATTACAACAATCTAAAATTGACAAACTATTACAGCAATTAGAATGTACAAAATGAGCAAATCTGAAAGAAGATCTGAGTCTAGAATGCTCAAAGGGAATATATTTGAGAGAACATCTGATCCTGAAATGTCCAAAAGAATATATGAAAGCGGCGTTCGCAGTTTTTCCCATGCTATGCCAACCGTAGGTTCTACGAATGCGTTGAAAGTGTGCAGTCAACAGGATGTCGCCTAAGACTATATAATGACATCGTAAGACGCATGGAGAAAATCATCGCAATGGCGCACATATAGGACTTAACACGATTCTGCACAAGCAAAGCAGCCATTTCAGATACATTTTGACAATCGAAAGACTAATCTGCACCGTATTAACATGGCCCTCAGTATATTTTTTTAATGCTCAAGTTTCATTGGTGCCCGTGTGCTGTTTTAGGTGCACTTATCTGCTCTTACAACATGCCTTCCGATGTTTTCTACATACGGCGCCAAATGTGGCTCTCTGAAGGCGCTGTCAGTAGACAAATGGCATAACATAGCACAATGGCGCCTTGGCCCACCTCAATGGCACCGTGCGAGGATGAAAGAACGCACTGTAATGGCACCCAGACTGGACGTATTTCTTCTATACAATAGAAAATACCCATTTCTGGCCTATTCCCGCCCCCGCCCCCCCCCCCCCCCCCCCACAAAGTGAAAGCAACATTCGCGGCTGTCCGTACGCTCTGTGGTACCGAAACCTAAAACTGAAGATGCTTCGTAAGAAAGTGAGAGCTTTATGATCCTCATGGATCTTCACGCAAAACTCCGAATTCGAAAATGGGAAATGTAGTACTACAAGACTATGAGAGCATATGAACGCGCCGTAATAGTTCAGATTATTTAGAATAAGGACGGCATAATTTGACATACTTTATACACGCCAATTCCTTTTTTCTGGTTTCTTAATTCTGATTCCTTAATTCCTAAAACTAATGTCGTTACCCGAAGCGAAAAAAAGGAATTTGTTTTTAATGCTAGCACAAAGGTATTCTGGACGGTTATGGCGCTAAGTCCAAGGCAAGCGCCAACAAATGTATTTCCTATCTCACAGGCCGAACGAATGTGACAAAAACAAGAGGCATGTGTTTAAGTGGTGCTGTTGAGTATGGCACTTCAACGACAATGTTGTTATGCAAAACAGCGGGTCGTTGGGACACAACACATATTTTTACGATTCGGTTCTCGTACGGCGCCAAAACTAGCGTCAAATCAGGATGGACTTCCGCCGAAGGAATTTTTCCTTATACAGCGCCAAACAGTCCAGTTGAGCGCCAAGAACTCCACAACCGGCGCCAGTGCTATTCGCACTGGAAACTGGATCGCATCAGCACCAGCACATGTATCGTATCAGAACCAGTAACACATGATTCATAACTACAGCCACCAGTACCTAGGGTAGCCAGATGTATATCAATGACAGCCTGGGGACGGGCAGCTCACCATGAACATTCGAAACAATGAGGTTCAAAACTATTCAAGTTGCCGTGTGGAAACTACGGTAACCACTAGCAAACCAATGGTGATTAAAAATAGCATGGTAAGTTTCTACTTGCCACCTCTATGGTGGGACGAAGGACGCCAACATTTCCGCTGGAGCGGCAAGGAGAGTTGTGGGGTAGGCTGAGCACTCATGTTTTGTTTTCAAACAGCCACGGAACGCTGTCAATGGCTTTGAGAGGAAAGACAGATAGATTGCCTTGGATGGGAAGTGTAGCCACGGAACGCCACCGTGCCAGAACAGAGCTAATCACGTGCCGAAAAGCCTGTTTAGAATCGCTGGCAGCGATGGCCGCGATACATACGTTCAGACTAAAGATGCAGCCTCCAACCAGCCAATTCATCACACCTGGCCCGGAAAGGACCTGGCGAGGTTCTGCAGGTAAACAATTCTCCATCACAAAATAAAGCATCCTTTGCTGGTACATCAGTTTTAAAGGTTTCCAAAAATTACGGGCACGACATGATTATGAAAAACAGCATATTCCGAATTTTCTAGCAGGGACCTTAGTGATAGAAAATCCCAAGGCTACTAGAGAAAGCTGCGCAGGCGTGACGTCACCATGCAACTAAATTTTGGTAGCCCGCAGTATGGCTTTTGGTCGAGGCCACGAAAAAGTTGTTAGATACTAGTCACGTGATTAAAGGCGGAAATTTCACCATTGAAGTGGATGGCAACCCCTGCCCTACATTTGTATTTAAATGTCATGTGAACAGATATTCTAAGTTTGCATTTCAAACCTTCTAAAGACAAATCAATACTAGAATCCAATTCCAAAAATAAATCCTACTAAGCCACGTTTTCCGCTTCCAGCACCCACGCCACGTCGGTCGAGGCCAACGCACGTAAATATCTACATGCAATGCGTTTTTGTGAAATGAATATTTATATGTGAATGAATAAACATCACGTGTGATGTTCACATCAAATGAATTAATGGGCAATGATTGTGCATATATCTTCGTACTGCAGTACCTACATGAAGTGAAATGTGAAAATAAGGTAATGTGAGGAGGTTAGGTGCCAAGAAATTCGCTGTTGCTGTGCTTTGATCCGCCTAAGCGTTGGTTAACTTGCAGACGTGTAATGTTGGATGGGTTAAATAAAAATGGCGCGCAGAAAATGATACACTGCCGCCCTAAAATATTCCTATTAGACTAATTCGGAGCTAAGATATGGGCTTTGACTCTATAACTGGCAGAAGGTGCGAACTTGCCAGAAATCTCTCCATTTTACAGGTCAATTCTGGCATCGTGAGCTGAAATGGCGCGCGCTGTGTTTAAGCCCCCAGGGTTCATCCACTCACTATCCCCATGGGGGCAGACCAACCCTGCATCCACCCTGGCAACGCTCCCCATAAGGCTACAGGATGTGCGCTCTAACTTATCAATGCACATCCCAGGGTGCTCCAAGCTCGTTTGGCCCGCCGTATCTCATTTCGATCCTATGTTGTTGTTGTTGTTGCGTGTTGTACTCTTTTACATAGACTGTTCTCCAGAACTTTCGGCTAGAGTTCTTCGGGATAAATCACTGGTGAATGGGCAACCCCATCTGTCTGTCGGAGGGAGGCTGGGAGCGCATTTCAGTAATAATTTTGTGGCTCTGGTGCCATGTTCCCAGCTGGTGCCATTTGCCAACGCTATTTCCCAGCTGAAAATGTTTCATTGAATGTGCTAGGATGAAAAAATCGGCCCATGAAAATATTTGTGCTTAAACCAGCCGGCGAAGAATGGCGTTTTCACGCTGCCCTTGTGTTGGTGCCGTATGACTTAGTCCCATGGTGAGGTCACGGAATCGCAACCCAGAATGCAGTAATGCCGCATTTCTTGGCCGCATTTCCTTCTGGAATGCGGGTTATAGCATTGAGACTGTTGTGAAACATTCGAATCCCGTGAGTTAGAGGGTAAAAATGTGGAATTCTGGCAGCAGTGTTGCAAACTAAATGCATCGACTTTCCTGTAATGGTGTATTATTCTTGCTAGTATGCAGCGTAATAAATTAACGACACTGCCCACGATCTGAAGTATTCAGCATTTCTGTAGCCATTATAAGTGCAAAGCCATAAGTTAATACTTCGATTTTAGAAAAAACAACCTAATGTTTGATACGATGAGGTACAAGGTTGAAATATCTAGTACTCATTACTGCGCAGTTATTTGAAATTCCATTCTCCTCCATCTGCTTCGCCGTTGGAGACAGTCATCATTGCGTTTAATGTGTAACTTGGTGCTACAGAATTCCGTCCACCAGGTGCTTTATCACTGCTCTCAAGGAATAATCACTGGTGTTATGCAAACAGCGTTGTGCATTAAAAGATCTGGTATGATATTTCTAATACACAATCCGTGCATAGGACCAAAACATGAAAACGCAGCACGCAATTGTGCATGGCTCAATGCTTGGTGATTTCTGCCGACTCAGCATGGTAGTACAGCGGGGTTTTGCGGGCTGGATCCCTAGCTGACCGAGGCGAGGCGGGCCGGGCTTCGGGCTGACATTTTGAGAAAAAAACTAGCTCCTCTAGTTCAGCACACTCGCGTCAACACACATACTGGCGCAATGATCAAGCCAAATCAATATTTGATTCGTTCCGGGCACCTCTTCTACAAGGCACTTTGTGAAGCTGACCTCGTCCGAGCCGAGCCGAGGCCAGCAGAGCCGGAGCGCTTGGTCGGCGCCGCCGCGGGGTGTCTGAACACGTGACCTCTCACCCGCCCCGGGCTCCACTGGCCAAACGCGCACTGCCGCCCCGCCCTGCTCTGACCTCGGCCGAGCCTCTGTCATTGAGGTCGCCCGCCGCTCGGCGGCGACGCCGGGGACGTCGATCGGCAGTTTACGGGAGGGGGAGGGGAGGGGCGACTTGACTCCGTCATCAGTTGCATCAGGACCAGTTCCGAGACGGGCCGCGCTCGCCCTTCGTTTCCACAAGCACAGCGGAATGCTGACGACGGCTCTGCCGGAGTAAAGCCCCACCAGGACTTAAGTCCCTACACGAAAGCCATGGCTCCGACCGCCTCCGTGTGACGTGCCGTATGATGGCTGGTAGACCGGATGCATGGAAGACGGCTCCGTCTACGTACGGAGCGTCGGCCCCAGGGATAGTCCCAGCAGTTCTGGTCCAGGTTGATCGGTGCGCTGCCACCCTCAAGCGGGATACAGCTTGATGAGTGCGTTATTTTTGGGGACGGAGAGAGGCAGGACATGGACAGTGAAGCGAAACAGTCATGGCCCTTTGATCCTGGAGACCTATCATGAACCACGTTACAACACACCGCTCGAGGGAACACGGGCACGCACGCAGCCTTCATCCTCCAGTAGACTTATGCTCGCCACCGATCACGGTAAGCCGGGCGATGCATCGTCACGCTCGTGTGCAGTAACTGCGCCCACGGCAGGCGAAATCAATTCGGCTTCAATAAGTATCTAATACAAATGTATCAATAATACAAAAGCTATTCCGGACTGATGGACACTGAGAAAAGCATTAGCGAGAGGACTCGTCGGTTAATCGAGGCTGTTGGTGGCTAAAGAGACCCGTGACATGTCCTGTGAGACTGGCAGACCTGGAACGACGTAGAAAATCGTATGCAGTACAAATGTGTCTGAAAGCCCTTAAATCCTGACAGATGCATACAATTTCAAGAGGGTGTAAAAAAACATTAACCGCAAACAATTGCTAAGACTACGACTGCAGCAACAGATCAAACGTAAAACGGCCTCACAAAAGCTAAGATGATAATCACGAGCAGCTAGTCGCTCTCAAGTGTTGCCGGTTAGTATTAATTCAGTCTTCAAACATTGGGGAGTCATGCGGGTGATATTGTGTCGTAGAGCTCAGCTACGTCGCATTTTAACTCAAATGAATGTCATGAGGTGAGGATCACAGCGCACCAAACAAACGTTTCACGCATGTGAGTTCAGCCTGTTAGTATAAGCTCGCCATCCCAACGCTAGACCAAACGCACGGTTCACGCATGTGAGTTCAGCCTGTTAGTATAAACTCGCCATCCCAACGCTAGACCAAACGCACGGTCCGCGCATGTGAGTTCAGCCTGTTAGTATAAACTCGCCATCCCAACGCCACACCAAACGTCACACGAGCCTTTACTTTCAAAGTCCGTAAACATCTCCGTGGTGGACTCCACAGGCTCCTCGGTGGGCGGCAGGAAATCTGAAACGGTCAGGAGTACGTGATGGCCCTCTGCCACCGCCCACGCACCGTTCCCGGAGCCCGCACCTGGCAGCGGCCATCACTTGTCAATGGGCAAATAATTAACAAATTGCTGGGGTGACCCACTATCGTTCAACAATGTGTCGTGCAGGGGGCAAATTTGATCCCTCCGTGGCCTTCTGGCCTGTCCCGTGATTTGTTTTCGGACGTCATTTCTTAATATAGGTCAGAGCTGCTCGAAAATTGGTGAGAGATTTGCCGAACATGTTTTCTTACAAACAGCAATATTGATCGGGGGCGATTTCAGCTCCTTATTGAGAGAGGTATCTCTTCTGAAATTTTACGCCCTCTTACTGATGTCCGCCTCAACTCGGTCATAGCTCCCATGGCCTGTTCATATGTCTGGCTGTCCAGATAAAATGCGTATATATATTGAGTATGTACCAACCTCTCATGAATGTCAAACTTTGGCGGTGATGTTCCTAGGACGGTACTAGGGAGGAGTTTAAAAAGAGCGTGACAGGATACTGGTGACAGAACAGGGATTTGCATAATAATCATGTGCACTAAAATATTGCAAACCTGCCATTGGTCTGCATATTTCGACATGGTGCAGTGATATGTTTATAAATATTAGAGGCGTGCTTACTTACAGCAAACGGGGAGGGGGAGGCAGGCGTGCGTTAACCAAAGCGCTGGCTGTTTATTTGTCTATTTGGAGTCTCATTGGTTTTTAATGTCAGGCAAGTATGTGCATGAAATGTGTAGATCATCATAACTAATTACATTTAGTGCAGTGGCGGTTTCGATGAAGGCAAGGGCGGAATAACAAATACCGTAGCTGTCTGTAATAAGTCCATCTTAAACATCCTGGGATTGTCTATGTGCCCCTTTGGAACCCTGGGTACGCCTCTCGTGCATATACTTGCGCAAAAAGTAAGTGTGGATTAGTCGTGAAAGTCCAAGAAAATGTACCTTTGCTAACGCTACCGCCGGACGTACATCCCTGGATCCGCCTATGACAAAATGCACGTTTGGCTGTATTATCATCAGTGAAGTACTTGATTTGGACCACGAGGCAGCATCAAGTAGACAAGGCATGGAAGGCTGCCAAAATTACTCACGCACATCCCAGCACTTTTCACTTCTGTGACTCCACCCATGACAATGTTAACATATACGAGATCTTCAAAATAATTCATGTCATATAAAACAGCCTTGCATAACCTGATGCATCGCGTATTCTCCACGAAAATACCTGGCCTGGTAATATGTCAGGCATCATTAGGTGATTCAATGTACCTGTTATCAACATAAATTGTCATGTGATTTACCGGTTGAAGTCATCCGGAACTGCATTTTTAGAAACGTGGCATATGCTGATCGTCGATTTCAGTGAAAGAACGGACGAGTGACTCTTGGTACATATGAGGGTGGGAGAGAGGGACGAATCTGCTCACTCCCCCCCACCGTTGACTGACCACACAACAGCGTAGACGGAACGGAGATAACGACCGTCCAGGCTATTGATATGAGCGGTGTCTTGGATTCAATGGCACGTGAACGGCCAGGCCTGCAGAACGCCTGAATCTGATCGAACGCGGCCTGATATCGCAGCCGACGAGGCATGAGTCAGCAGCAGCAGACTTTCAGGCCTATCTCCGGCTCGGTCCGCCTCGTCTGTCTGCTTCGGTCACTTCTCCGAAACCGGCGAGCCCGCGGCGGGCGGCGCAGCATGGCCTCAATCCGCCTCACACCGAAATGGAGCGGGACAAGGTTCTAACACATTTATGGGCGGAGTCTTTGATCTGTTAAGGACGGGTATATCTCCCCTCGTCCCACTCCCGCAGCCAGCCCTCGTCCCACCCCCGCAAAATTTGTTATGTCCCGCTCGTCCCACTCCCGCAAAGTTTATTATGTCTCCCCTCGTCCCACTCCCGCTCGTCTTACTCCCACAGCCTCCCTTCGTCCCACTCCCGCAGTTTGTTTCGGTCCTTCCCGAGCGGGAACTCGGGCTTCTTAAAATTCGCCACAGAACACCGACAAACTAGGTTACGGGCCTTCCAGAAATCTCTCACGCTTCCCCGTTCGTGTCGTAACATCCCGTCCCTGTCACGTACCGACTACATTAAACTGCACATGGATGGCCATCTCCGGCTTGGTGCTGATCTGGCAGTCGTAAAGGCCCGAGTCGTTGCTGCGGGTGCCCTGGATTGCCAGCGTCCAGATGGCGCTGCCCGGATTGTGCAGCGCCTCGAACCTCAGGTCCGTCGTGTAGGTGTAGCGGCCGGCCGTCAGGATGTGCAGGTCCGCCTGACGGATCCAGGACACCTGCCGGAAGAGGGACCGTCATGGGTGCGGGTCTGCCTGACGGATCCAGGACACCTACTGGAGCAGGGGCCGTCATGGGTGTGGGTCCGCCTGACGAATCCAGGACACCTACTGGAGCAGGGGCCGTCATGGGTGTGGGTCCGCCTGGTGGGTCCAGAATACCTGCCGGAACACGGACCGTCATGGGTGTGGGTCCGCCTGACGAATCCAGGACACCCACTGGAACAGGGGCCGTCATGGGTGTGGGTCCGCCTGGTGAACACCTGCGGGAACAGGGGTCATCATGGGTGCGGGTCCGCCTGGTGGGTCCAGAATGCCTGCCGGAACGGGGACCGTCATGGGTGCGGGTCTGCCTGACGGATCCAGGACACCTACTGGAGCAGGGGCCGTCATGGGTGCGGGTCTGCCTGACGGATCCAGGACACCTACTGGAGCAGGGGCCGTCATGGGTGCGGGTCTGCCTGACGGATCCAGGACACCTACTGGAGCAGGGGCCGTCATGGGTGCGGGTCCGCCTGACGGATCCAAGACACCCACTGGAACAGGGGCCGTCATGGGTGCGGGTCTGCCTGACGGATCCAGGACACCTACTGGAGCAGGGGCCGTCATGGGTGCGGGTCTGCCTGACGGATCCAGGACACCTACTGGAGCAGGGGCCGTCATGGGTGCGGGTCCGCCTGACGGATCCAAGACACCCACTGGAACAGGGGCCGTCATGGGTGCGGGTCTGCCTGACGGATCCAGGACACCTACTGGAGCAGGGGCCGTCATGGGTGCGGGTCCGCCTGACGGATCCAGGACACCTACTGGAGCAGGGGCCGTCATGGGTGCGGGTCCGCCTGGCGGATCCAGGACACCTACTGGAGCAGGGGCCGTCATGGGTGCGGGTCCGCCTGACGGATCCAAGACACCCACTGGAACAGGGGGTGAGATCAGGTAAAAGGGATTAAGCTTCTTGTCCATGGACATGACCAGTGGAAACTGCCGTCCGGTAACGTGTTGACTCACATGTACTCAAAATAATAGACCAAAACAAACAGCAGGCAGGAATCTACTTATAAAACACTATCACGTCATACAAGTATTATAGTGACAAAACTTTTGCGACTGGTTCGCGCGTGCGACTAAGTACGTGCGAAAGAGTGTTGCTCAGGGAACGAGTGACACCAACAAATGTATACTTTTGCTGTTTCTATAGCCAACATGTAGTTCCGATCTAATCCTCCAACTAAATCCAACAAATCCTGAGTATCTGGAATATTGCCACTTAATTCGCTGCGTAGTCGTTCAAAATGTCATGAACTAAGACGGTGTGGTCATGCAACTGTCTGTAGTTGCCATTACCCGCCCATGAGGCCAATGACTGCCAACATTTGCTTCGGAATTATAAGAGATTAAAGAGAAAACTCCCTGTAAAATGAAGGGAGCCAGATGAACCAGGAGAGTTACCTCAACCTTCGGTATACTACGCTGTGTGTGTGGCGGTGACAGGCCTGGGTCACGTAAGGAAAATTCACCGGATTCCAGTACGAAACTTCGCAGTGGAGGCCTAGTCTGAATTACGGCACGCTCCTCTCGCAAGGTGCCGTTTTTCTTTCCTCTACCCACGGTTGCTGAATCTATTCAACCAATCGATAAACCCCTACCCAAGCCTATCGACAAGATATCATTTCTGTGCTTAGAGGAAATGCTCCACATCATATGATATTGAAGCAAGCATCAGATTTGGCGAAGTAAGCTTACTTATAACTATTGGCATCTATTTAAGTGGAAAACGTTGTGCCCGTTTCTGTCAGTCGTTTCCGCACACCTCCATAAGTTCATAATTGCGCCTACGGTAATCGCAAAAGCATCATGGTGTTCCTGCAGAAACGTCAATGCATTTTTAGGTTGTTGTTTATGCTTAAGTTTGACTATGAATACTAATGAAATTCGCAACACACACGATAGCTGTTTGTTGTAACAGACAAGTTAATAACGAAAATCAGCAACACGAGCTCGGGTGGGGGATCAAATTAACCCCCTAAAGGTTTTTTAAATTGCTTTGGAACGACGTGAGGACGTCGTGCTACATTTTGCATACCTATAGACAACTGAATGGCGGATCGTTAAGCACCAAAAAAATAGATGTACCTTGAAAGGTCACTGACCTATGGCAGGTCAAAATCAGGCCATGGTTTCAGCAGTCAATTTCTAGGGAATCGTTCAATCTGATACAACAACGGAGTGTTAGACAAAGCCGTACAGCTCTGATATATTTTCTTAGGAAACGTATATATTGAATGAGCAAATTACGTTGACCTAAGGTCAGCTATAAAGGTCAAACGAAGGTCAAAATCAATCCGTTTTATTACCCCAGGGCTTGCTGTATGATATAGATTCTGGTGCTTATTTCGAAATTATTGATAGCAGGAACCGCATTATACATCTTCCATGGACTTCATCGAGGTCAGAATAGGTCATTGACCTGAGATGAGCCAGGTAAACATTCTGTTTTAAGAAACATACTGCCTAGCGTAATATTTAATAATATTCAAATGCAAACCTCAAAGCAGTCTCGTATGATCTTGGTCACCGTGACCTTCATAAGGTCAAACAAGGTCACCGGCCTTAACTGGGCATATGACCTTTATGCTTGGAAACAGTTATCTAAGTTCTGGAGGCACTTTGGAGGAATTTGACATTGTTTGATCTTATTTGACCCGAAGGTTATGATCTATGAACCTCAAACGTTGCTCTAAGTGGGTCCAAGTACTGGTCCATACACCCTGTAAATTGGTATCCCTAACTCTTTTAGCTCCTGAGATCTCAGCGGGGTCAAATTGAATCCCGTCCACCCGACCAAAGAAGCCAGCCACCCGGGCGCGCGTGAACTTTATAATCGTTATCCAGACTTAAATCACATGATATTTTGGTTTGACGTCCATGCGTTTCATCCCTGCCTGCTGTTTATTTTCCACAGATATATTAATTCGCCAGCATCATCAATAAATAAGGTAAAAGTTTGAATGAATGCTAGATGTTGCTCCTACCGACACCACAGTCTGCCGCCGATCGTATGCCTTTACTCCGATCCCAAATATGTCAAGGTCTCGACCGCAGCTCGCTCCAGATGACAGCGTGAGCTCCGTCCTCGGCCTGGCCCGTTCCGCAGCACATCTGACGGGCCGCACCATCGACCGGCGCGGCGCGGCCCTCAGCGGCCATCGCGCCGTCCGACCGCCGGCCCATCAGCTCGTTAGCGCTGCGGAAGCCCGCGCGGTTGTCGTCTCTGCACGCCGTGCAGACCGCTGGTACGGCACGGCTGCCACCAAGACAAGACTTATGTCCTCACCAGTCGAGTCAGGTCCGCGGGAAAGGTCGTGACACGGATATGGCCGGCCGCCGACCTGGCTGCTGCCGCTGCGTCAGCAGCCGACGCGGCGGCAACCCACTACAGCCCCGGCAGCTGGCCCTTCGAGGACTTACGGATTTCCTTCCCGGCATATATATATATATATATATATATATATATATATATATATATATATATATATATATATATATATATATGTGTGTGTGTGTGTGTGTGTGTGTGTGGTGTGTGCGTGTGTGTGTGTGTGTGTGTGTGTGTGTGTGTGTGTGTGTGTGTGTGTGTGTGTGTGTGTGTGTGTGTGTTTGCGTTTTCTTTGCAGGTTTGCTTGGTTATTATATCTACTGGCGCAGCCCAGCACAGCAAAAGAACCAAGTGATGCCGAAGTGGTAAATGACACCAAATTTTCTAAATCGATACTATATTTCGATGCAACCATTCGGAAAATGACAATGCTAACTTTCCACTTGCTCGGCATCAAGTTGCATAACTTGTTCTACCATGCAAATAAAAAACAGGACGCAACTTTGTCACACGGGTTAGTGCTGCCATTCCTAGTATTTTTCCGTAAGGGATCTTCCCCGGCCTGGGCCCCCATGATCTAGGTGAGCGGGCCTGGACTGGGCCCTGACACAGTGGGCCTGGGCCTGGGCCAGGTTAGTGTCTGTTGCGCCCGTGACAAACACTGCCTGAACCCGACTGAATCCCGTGTTCCGACCGACCGGGTCCCGCAGGAACATATGCGAACACGCCGCTATGACAACGTCGGGGGCAATTCACATTTAGGAACTGTCCGTACGCAGCCTGAGCTGCTCCTTACAACACCATTAGGAAGTAAGTGGATCAAAGTGAAATGGTTTTAAATTTGATGGAAAGCACCTTTCCCGACAAAAATGTTATGAGTTACGACTAAAATTACCATGGCAATGGTTGAGCGGACCCGGAACTTTCTCGTGCGGTTAGACGCCTGGCGGCAACGAAGGACGATGGACGCTGAAGGTCCGTGGCCTTCGGGGAGGTTCCCAACCACAGAGGTACCAGCAAACCATGCAAGATCGCCAACAGCACTGGGAAGTGCTTGGTGGCTGCGGTCTCAGCAGCGTCGGCCAGACCGCATTAGCGGGTGTTTGGTCCCCGCATGGTACGGAATTGTGTTGTACTCGTCTAACGGCATCTGCTCTCCTGTTTTGAAGAAAATGGTTCGGGATAGGCGTTCAAAATGAAATGCTGTGATCTGCTCTGCATGCATAGATGCACGTGCATACACACGTAAAAATCCGTCTCCTTAACCATGGGGTGGTACAGAGAAGCCGACGCTTTCATTCTGAGGCGGCCCTCGGCACAATCCTCTGCCTTAATTCGTATGACAATATCCTATGTCTTTCAGGAGAAGTCTTCTATCTTTGTGATAGAAAATGTGCCAAAGGTCGGTGACTCGTATGGGTTTATTTCCATGCACCGACACCTCAACTGTGTTCATAACGCCCTTCCATAGCATCTATTGTTCCAAATATAACATTTCTCCGAATTTGAAATTTCTCTTAGTGCCCGATGTACCCCAACAGGTTACCCAAGCGAGACGCAGACACCACTGGACACTGCCTTTTAGTACTGGCATGCTATCATATCTTATCTTGGGTTTTAAAAG